GCATACCGCACTTGCTAATGAAGCCCGGGATTTGAATTTCCCGGGCTTCATTAGCATAAGCGGGGAGCCGCCATTTTTAAATCCCCGCTGCTTCGAACCCCGTGTAGCCGCGCTACACGGGGTTCGAAGCAGCGGGGATTTAAAAATGGCGGCTCCCCGCTTATGCTAATGAAGCCCGGGATTTGAATTTCCCGGGCTTCATTAGCAAGTGCGGTATGCATACATTACCCTCCTAGTTCGAACTAGGAGGGTAGTGTAGACATACCCTTAGAGAGCACTTTGCCAGACTAACAAAGCTAGATATTACTTTAAAGTAAGGATCCCAAATATGCTTTTGAATTTATATTAAAATGATATTGAATTACATAAACATTCTGAATAAATGTGTTGACTTAAGTTAGTAAGGGGCTATAGGAAGAGCAAATAGGAAAGCCATACAATAGCAGACCTAGGTAGGAAATGGTTTTCTTGTCCTGTGAGGATTTTTGAGATTTTAAAAATCTCTGCTTAAAACACAAACAAAACCACCATCAAGTTATTAGTCCCTTTGTAATCTGATGGCTATACAGTGCAACATTTGTTGTAAAGGTATGGTTGCTACCCAAGGCTTTTTTTGTGTTGTGGGTCTTTTTGTTTATGGAAAGAAAATTTAATTATTATTTTAAATTAAAAAAAAATCCTTTACTGAATAGCTAAATAGGCTTTACTCAGTAGCAGCTAAATAGGCTGCTTTTATTTCCTTCTTTGAACTATCCAGACAGGACATGTTAAATGTTTTATGTGCAAATATCTAAAGGGATTGAATACCCAATGGAAAAACCACAGTTGAAATAAAGAGCTTGCAGCACCAGTATTTAGAAATAAAATGCACGTGCACACGGAGGAGAAGTTGAAACTGACTGAGCACCAGCTATTTCAAAGTTCTGTTAGATTTCTCAGTTTTTTGTCCAAGGACCAATCTGTCCATAAAGAAACAGATACTTTAGTAATTTAGAAACATTTTAATTGTTAGGATTTGAAGTCTGATTTTCAGTCAGAAATCACAGCTGGAGAAAATGGCAAGAGTAAGGCATAGTCAGTAAAGAGCTAGATAAAGCACGGTTAAATAAGGTTTTCATGAAAGATTGATTGAAACTTTAGATAGACTGGAGAAATTGAAAAAAAAAGACGTCTGCTCTAGTTAGGCTGTAAATGTATGTCTACACTAGGGAATAAGTTCGAATTAAGATCTGCAACTTCAGCTACGCTAATTACATAACAGAAGTCGAAGTACCGTAACTTGACTTTTGGCGCTGTCTACACAGCAGGAAGTTGAAAGGAGAACACTTCAACTTCCCTTACTCCTCATGGAAGCAGGACTACTGGCCTCAACCGGAGTGCCCTTCTCAGTTCAAATTAGTGTGAACACTCTTCACCAGAGGCCACATTTTTGTGGTCCTGAAAGAGTTGATAGATCACATCATTTCTCTGATTTCGTCAGATTCATTAGGTTTCACTGAAAAATGTCGGAAGAGTATCCCGGAGAAACTCAGAAGTCTAGACATAGCCCGTGTGTCCTATCTTTCCTTCTTATTCCATGGCTGCATAGATTTCTTAAGAGCCTTTGGTGAGGGAACTTTTCAAAGGCTTTCTGAAAATTTACCTATTGGGTCACCCTTAACCAACTGCTTTTGATTCCCTCAAAGAGTTCTGATAGGTTAGTTAGATGTGGTTTCCCTTTATAAAACTCTGTTGTCTCTTCCCTAAAAAATTATGTTTATCTATGTGTCTGATAATTCTGTTCTTTATTATAGTATAAATCAATATGCCCAATATTGAGATAAGACTCACCATGCCAGGATTTCCTCTGAAGAGCTTTTAAAAGTCTATATTCCATTCGCAACCTTCTTTCTAGTCACTGGCAAGGAGTCTGATTTCATTGATACGGTTACATACTAAAGTTAATAGTTCCACAATTTTGTTTTTGAGCTCCTTCAGAACTCTTGGGTGAATACCAACTGGTCCTGGTGATTCATTATTGTTTTAAATGATCCATTTGTTCCAAAACCTCCTCTACATTGACACTTCAATTTGGGACAGATCTGTCACCCAAAAAGAATCACTCTGATGTGGGTATTTTCCTAACATCCTCTGCAGTAAAGATTGATGCAAAAAATTTAGTCATCTTCTTTGCAATGGCCTTGTTTTTCTTGAGTGCTTTGTCATGTAGTGGTCACACTGCCTATTTGGCAGGTTGCCTTGCTTTTGATGTACTTAGAACTACTGTTGGTTTTAGTATGTTGCTTCTTAAATTCTTTCTTGGTCTGCCTATTACATTTTTGTAATTTATTTGCCAGAGTTTTGGCTCCTTCCTATTTTTCTCATTAGTTAGCTACTAGTAGTAATGAAAGGCTGAATTGATAGAGGCCAGTATTTCAGGAGTAGATGGAATAGGTTTCTAGTCCTGGAGTGTTAAGTGCATGCAGTGTATCTGTTTCTGATGTCTGAAGCAAATATATTTGTTACTTCACCTATAAGGAGATATACCTGAGACTCCTTTCGTCTTCCTATTATCTGTGTGGTGAGGTAGAAGTTACTTTCATGTAAGATAGTGGCAAGAAATAGGTAAATTCCTTTATACTATACAATCAGATAGCTGAAACAATAGGGGTCTGCCCAGCCATACAATCACCCGAAGCAAAGACTCATGTAAGGCATACGTGGGCAGAGGGGTTTTGCTGCCCATTATTTTGTGAAGGCCTGCATGTCTGTGAAAGAGAAGAAAAGGTACAGAGGAATTTAGAGAAAAGACAGCATGGAAATGCTCAACACATTTGCAGTAAGAGCTAGAATGTGGTCCTGAAAAAAGCCTTCAGCTATATGCCTACCACCACACTGGTGATGAGCTATTACTGCATGATGAAACAACACACATTCTATGTAAATCCCTCAGCTGTAATTGGGTGCAAAGAACATGGATAAAACCTGCACACACAAAAATGTCTTTTCACATTCCTTACACTGTAGTTTGGAAGTTATTTCTTTCTGGTCATTGGTTTAGAAGAGAACTGTACTATAACAGGTGTTAAAGATGTTTTGAAGTTTATGGTGGATTGCCAACATACATCCAGTAATGCTTACACTTGATATTTTAAATAGTACAAATTAGGCTGCACATTTTTGATAAAAAGGACTGAAAAAGTCTTTTGATGATGAAAAACAGTTGAAAACGTGGCCTTATAGAGGGACTGGGATCAGAGACAAGGAACACAAGCAACTGCAAGAGTGAGATAACACACACGAAAGGGAAAAAAATTAGGGAAGACCGTAGAACTAACAGAATGTGGGAAAAAATGGTAGGTGAAATGTGAAATGGCTTCTAGAAACTTGAATGTACAATGAAGTGATGCTTGTGTGAGACAACAGAATGGATACAGAAGAATAAGACAAAAGCAATGAGCTATTTTCAATCCTCTTCTGAAAAAAAAATTCAGGTGATATTCGTTAGTGGACATAATGGTTATTTTTACAAATCAAACAGCAAGATTTTTTTAAAAAGGCAACCATAAATAATTTTAAAGTTTTGAAAAAATTATCAACCTCCCCCCATTTTTTCTAAGATGGCTAGAGGAGTAATTCCTCATTATCTCTTGTTACCTCCAACTTTTAAAATGTGCTCACACCATTGCAAAGCGGAGGAGTTTATGCAGGTTTATTATACAGGGGGCTCCTCCCAAATCATTTGCAAGCAGAGGAATGAATCCTCACCTTGTATAAATCAGCATCGCTCCACGTTGTGCATTGGTTTACATCAGCTCAGGGCTGTTTGTGTGGAGTTAAATTATTATGAATTATTGTGACTGATATGAGTGAATGTGCTGGACACGAGTTAGGTATGATTAGATATGTTTGAATTTGCTAGAGGATTCTGGGAGCGGGACAGTTGATTTGGAAATATCAGAGACTTTATCTGTGTGTGTGTTTCAACAGCAAACTTTGGAAAATATCCTCCAATGGCCAGCTCAACAAATAAAGAAAACACAAAAACACATGATCAATGAACTTGGCACAGGCTAACCCAGGTCAAAATGTCCCGTTTGGATGGCACCATACTAAGAGTGCGAGTGAATGAGGGTGAAGGTCAATTGGCCTATGGTCTTTGTCTGTTTTGCAGTCTCTTTACAAATATTAATTAGGAAAAAACAGTAATGAAATACCCATGGGGCATATTTCAAAGACATGTGACTATTTTGAGAATAGAGGGTATAAATATTAAGAATATATAGGTACAGTTTTTAGTTCCCCAATTAACATCTGAAGAGGTTTTTGGTACTGTAAGACAGAGGATCTCAGGGTAGCTCACCCCTGCTATGAGGGACTTTTAAAGGACTTTTGAACCAGAGGACCTAAGGCTAACCAAGACCCTGCTATAGGAGGGAGAGAGAAAAGAGAAGACGTTTCCATCTAGAATTGATAGATATACCTGTTTTGTCTGCCAGTCAAGATACTGTGTAAGGCCAACATGGTTACTGAGGGTTTATGCTTGGAGAATTAAGGATTATGAGGAACATGCATTATATAACCTTTTACTGTTTGTGTAATTCTTTCTCCAGTAATCTGCTGTGCATTGAGCAAATTGAATTTGAATTTTCACTGGTGCGGGTAACTATTTGCCCAGCTGTGGGCCATTAAAGATCCATTTCAACAACACACCGTCTAGATGTAGTTGCATTCCTGGGAAAAGATGAGTAGCAAAAGTGACCTCTATGTTTTCCCTGCTTGTGTTTCTGTGTCACTGGATTTGCACTTCTTTTATGGATACTTCTGCTCTCAGGAAGAGTATGGTTCTGTGGTATATGGGGATATTTAGGTTTCCCACTGTCTGGCCCATATATGCAGAGGAAACATAGTATCTCTCATGAATTTCAGGTTGAGCAAAGATTTAACCTCTAGTGTAATGTATATTGTGCCAAGCAATGCTTTTCTTTTGTGCCCTCCTGAATTCCCTCTTTGTTACTCACCAGTACTGCTCTGGATGGTCCTCACTGTGGTGGTTGTGCGTGGGGGAGATGAGGACCTCAGTGACACGCATTCATCATCTTGGGAACAGCCCTTCTCAATTGCTCTCACATAGCTGTGGCTCCTCATGCGGAAGCAGCCTGGCATTGGCAGATCCAGAGCCTCTACAGCCTGAGACTCTAGTTCGCTGAACACGGACTCACAGACTGACTCAAACTGACCATTTACTTCCATCTCACTCACCTGCTGGCCAAGAAGAGGTAATTTAATTATGTCCCATAGATCAATCTATTCTGTAATAACATTTAAAAGAAAAATGGAGCAATAATTAAAATTTCCTCTAAAAGTTCCCTTTGAAAATGAACAGTAAACGATTTACACTTTAAAACTTATGTTTTTATGCAGTAAGAATTCATCAAGAAAAATATAAGATGTACCTATTCAGAGTCAAGAAAATACAGCGCTATGGACATTGTGGGCTTAGTCCTGATCTTATGTAACTAATCTAACTTGGGCCAACTTCAGGGATTAAACCTTGGACATCTAGCATTAAGAATTTGAGCCTCTCCAACTTGAATGAAAGGATTAATTCCCTTGGCTGGCAGCTATATCAGACTCATTAACCCTTGAGTGTGGATTACACTCAAAAGCACATGGCCTTGCTGTGTGTGTTACAAACTTCGCTAAGGGTCCACCATGATTCTATACTCAGGATTGAGCCATGAGATTGGCATTATAATTCTAACAGTCATCAGTGGAAAAATGCACATTTGAAACAATAACGTATATCACAATTTCACTATTTTTCAAGCATTCTAAAAGCAGCTACACCAAGGGAAAATGTGAATTATTTTGGTCTAGGGAGATATGAAAAATGTTATACTAGGATGAATTTTAAGAAAAAAATAGGCTGAGTAACAGGGCATACTGCTGAACAGTGAAATCTATTAGACTGTGGAATAACTTCCTAAGGGGAAAAAATTGAAAGAGATTGATTGCTTTAAAAATAACTGGTCAGAGCACTTGATATTATTTTATGAAGAACAATCCTACATTTGCATAGGATAAACTAGTTTATCAGGTGTCTCCCGTAGCTCACTTCTAGGATTTTTTTAAGCTTCCTATTTTTATTGGCAAGGGAGCCTGCACCCTTCTGAGCACAGACAGCTGTTCTTGAAGCTTCACTCATCTTACAAATCAACAAGTCTAAATTGGAGTCAAATAGTTTTATCCCACACTCACAATTTCAGTTAGCTGTTTTTTGTGGGCTTCCTTCATAACTCAGTTTCTACAGCACCTGCTTATACTTTGTGCTAACGCTGTAAACTCCTACAGCAGATAATATGCAGAGAGCTCTTCAGAATGTCCAAATTCAGCAGCCCCTGCCTGAGCAGTGCAGATTTCATCATGGATCAAAGTCACTCCATTTATCCTGCATAGCAGTCCATAGATAGAATCATGGCCCCACTGAAGTCTGAGGCAATCTTGCTGACATCACTGAGCCAGGATTTTTTAAGTCCTATCAGACACACTTTTAGGGTATGTCTAGACTACACGGCTCCGTCGACAGAGCCATGTAAAATAGTTTATACGGCATAGTCAAAGAAGCAGGGATTTAAATAATCCCCGCTTCATTAAAATAAAAATGGCTGCCGCACTGTGCCAATGATCAGCTGATCCGGCACAGCAGGGCAGTCTAAACGTGGTGCAGTCGACAAGGGAAGCCTTTGTCGACCGCTCCAGTAAACCTCGTTTATTTAAATCCCCGCTTCTTTGCCTATGCCGAGTAAACTACTTTACATGGCTCCGTCAATGGAGCCATGTAGTCTAGACGTACCCTAAGATTGCTTTGATATTTATATTACACGTACACAGAAATTTTTATTTTATGGTCCCTAGTCCTTAAATGTACATTGGAGTCTTTACTCATTTTTGCTAGAGCTCCAAAGACTATATTTTTAGAAGTGACTCAATCTTTTGAGGGCTAAACCTGAAACTCTTTAGAGGGAGTGCTGAGCAGCTGTCCTCTACAAAAATCAGGCCCCTTTAAGACATTTTATGTAGTGCAACCAAAAACTATTAATTATCAAAATTTAGACCATGACATTTTTAAAGCTTATTCCTTCACAAAAACATAGATGAAAACCAGCCCTATAAGTCCTTTAAAGTTCAAATGCTTTTGAAAAATTTAAATTTGTTATATGTCTGGCTTCATTGCACAAATCGTCAGGTTTCTGGTTCTACACATTGCATATACATTTGAATTAGCTGGTGACTGATTCTGATCTTGTGCTTAGCTGTTCATGCTTGCCACTCACCTGACTAATCGTGCTCATGGCTCTCATGTAGCTTTCATTCCGGGAACGGAATTTAGGAGAAGTTAACAGACTTGCAGGATCCAGACTGTCCAAACTCCTATTGATTGAGACTTCACTCACTGCCCTCAAGTAACTGTGGCTCCGGATCAGCTGGTGACTGATTCTGATCTTGTGCTTAGCTGTTCATGCTTGCCACTCACCTGACTAATCGTGCTCATGGCTCTCATGTAGCTTTCATTCCGGGAACGGAATTTAGGAGAAGTTAACAGACTTGCAGGATCCAGACTGTCCAAACTCCTATTGATTGAGACTTCACTCACTGCCCTCAAGTAACTGTGGCTCCGGATCTGAAGTTTTGGGGAATGTTCGCTGGATATCTGGACATTGCATCACATTCAAATAACTGGTTGGAGATAACAGTACATTTTTCTGCAGAAAAGTAAGACTCAAACTAGAAAATATGTAACCATGGGGCATTTAAAATTAAGTACAGTACAGTAAATTGCAACTTTACAAATGTGTAATAAATCATTATTATCATCATATCCCACAATAACTATACAATAGTCTTTAAAGGGTAGCTGAAAAGCCATAGGAAACTTTGAAAAACATTCTGTTTAGCAATAAATCTGCTATTATATCATAGTTTCAAGTTTTCACTCTCTTAATTTTTACCAGAGACTTTCAACTGAAAAATATCTTTATTTCCTAAGAGATCATCTCCTTCTGTTGTTTATTCTGTATTCCATAATCCTTTTGCTTGTGACATAATTTCTGCAACAACTAACTATGATTCACCGAGGAAGACTGTGATTATGGGTAATATCTGTAACTAAAGTGAAACAGCTTAGCTAGCTCCACTAACTTCAATGTTTACAATGATTAGATGCATGAGCAGATGAACTCAACGATCCTGGAACCAACTCCTCAGGTGTGTTGCATCCTCTTTGCATTGCACTGCCTTGTCTACATGATTTAGGGATGAGCACTTAAAAACAAGAGCGGTCCTGAAGAGAGAGTCAAAGAGCTTACTTACAGGGGTCTTGTACATCAGACCCCGGTGACTAGCAAGATAGAGAGATAAGGTGGGGGTGGGGTTCCCTTAAGCTTATCTTTTATCTTTCCTTTTATTTTTGAGGGAGGTAGGATAGTACTGTACTTGGGCTGCCTACATCAAGTGCCTTGGATGACTATACTGTAATGATCAGTGCAGAAAGCACCTCCCTCAGTGAGCAGTGTAGTATCCTTTACCTTAGTGGTAAGTTGTTGTATGCTTGATATTATGTTATCTTGGGTTTGGGACAGGGTGGGGGTGCTTGGAGGATATTCAGTGCTGTGTGTGCTGGGGTCGGTACTTATAGTGTTCCAATAAATTCTCACTTGCACACAAAAAGGAGTGTAGAGTTGGGAGAATGTGTTGGCAGTGACTGACATTTTTTTGTTGTTGTTGTTGTTGTTGAAAGCTCTGACAAAATAAGTATCCCTGGGAAAATGTAAGCTGGTCTTCTGCATTTCAATGTGCACATTCATAGCACAACACAAGAGTCTTGTGTTGTGTCACAAGGGCTCTTTATCATGTCAGTATAAAGTGTCATAACTGTACAAGACAAAAGGAAATGGTGATGTGTACAGAAATATACCTCCAATAGTCAGGAAATATTTGTAATTCATCTTTTAAAAAAAAAAAACCTTGTCCTCTTGTTGGTTAAATCTCCCAGAATTCATTTTACTAGGGTACCCCTGATAGCATAGTTCCCATAGAACTAATTATTTTCCAAGCTGAATGCTCCTCCTTCCCCCAGCCTGGAGAGTTCTGTGTTTAACTAGATTTTCATTTTAGATTAGCTTTTGTTTTTAAGGAAAAAAATCATCATGCTAAGTAAAAGTTGAAGGACACTAGTAAAGAAACTGCACAGAACAATCCATTCAAGTGTATTAATCTTATTCCAGTCATGATGTGGGTCATCATATGGGTAATTTTTTATCACTGTTTCACTTGCATTATGTTAACTTTTCATTATCACTGTTGCACTTGCATTACGTTAACTTTTCATTTCAGTGTACGAGGCATTGCAGACATTGGCCAGGGCAGAATATCCACAACTTTGAGCATTTGCTCTCACAAGAAGTTTGCCACATTTTGGAGAATCTTCTTTACCATATGATTTAAAACAATAGGGCTGTGTCTACACTGGCGCGATCTTGTGCAAAAACTTGCTACCTGTCTACACTGGCCGCATGTTCTTGAGCAAGTAAACTGACGTTCTAATGTATGAAATCAGGGCTTCTTGCACCAGAACTCTGACGGCTCCCGCTCAGGAATAAGCCCTTTTGCTCAATTGTTCTTGTGCAAGAGGCCAGTGTAGACAGGCAACATGAATTTCTTGCGCAAGAAAGCCCTATGGTTAAAATGGCTATCGGAGCTTTCTTGCGCAAGAGAGCATCTACACTGGCAAGGATGCGCTTGTGCAAAAGCACATCTCTTGCACAAAAGCACATGCCAGTGTAGACGCTTTCTTACACAACGGCTACGTCTACACTGGCCCCTACTTCGGAAGGGGCATGCTAATTTTGAAAGTGGGAATAGGGAAATCCGCGGGGGATTTAAATATCCCCCGCGGGATTTAAATAAAGATGTCCGCCGCTTTTTTCCGGCTTGGGGAAAAGCCGGAAAAAACCATCTAGACTGGCCCGATCCTCCGGAATAAAGCCCTATTCCGGAGGATCTCTTATTCCTACTTTGAAGGAATAAGAAGTAGGAATAAGAGATCCTCCGGAATAGGGCTTTATTCCGGAGGATCGGGCCAGTCTAGACGCTTTTTTCCGGCTTTTCCCCAAGCCGGAAAAAAGCGGCGGACATCTTTATTTAAATCCCGCGGGGGATATTTAAATCCCCAGTGGATTTCCCTATTACGAAGTTTAAAATTAGCATGCCCCTTTCGTAAAAGGGGCCAGTGTAGACGTAGCCAACTACTTTAACGCAAGAACTCTTGCGCTAAAGAGTTTTTGGGCAAGATCACACCAGTGTAGACTAGCCTAGGATTGTCTTGCTAAGGGCGTCACACTTTGAAGCTAAAATCTCAGTACATTTCATGGCACAGTTGCTATGGTGCCAGACATGAGAAAGAAAAACAAAAACCAGAATATCTCACACTGAGCAGAAATTTAACAGCAACAGCCCAAAAGTTGCAGCTGTTTCCCTGATTATAAGACTCCCGATTAATCAGATTATAAATCATCCTAACTGCACAAACCAATTGGCATTCATCCCCATTAATCATGTAGGGTATGCATTATTTTATTAATAATGCCCTAGAAGTCCTTTTGAGGTGTCAGGTGTCAGATAGAGACAGGGTGAGAAGGGGCAGTTATTGTAGTGTTTTTTCACTTATACAAACTTTAACATGTCTGAACAAGATATCACTTAAAAATTTACCCAAAACTCAGCTCTGTTAAATGCCACACAGCTCTCTGATATGTCTATTTTCCAGCTGGCAAATTTTGCTCTTTTTCTGTAAAAGCACACAGCGTCCTGCCAAAGAGCCCTTATTTGTTTGATAAAGAACAACAGGACCTTGAACAACTTCTGTTTGTAAACATTTTTCAAAAGCACCATTTTTTTAAAGGTACCTGTGATTGGCTGGCCATCAAGTCACTGCCAATCAGCTCAGAATCAATCTAGAATCTGTCTATAAGTACCTGTGGTCTCAGATGGTCTCATGATGGATCTTTGTTTCCAAGGTTGTGCAATAAGGACCATAGGCCAAAATCAAGTGTTTAATTTTGATACGACCCTATGCTTCTATTAATGGCTTACCTCTTATTATACAAATAAACCATATATTTATATAGTGCTTTTCATCCCAAAGGATCCCAAAGCACCATATACAAACAAAAGAATAGATAAAATAATTAGGAATGCTTTCAAGTACTACCGCATGGCATCTACCCTAAGGGTGAAACACATCGGTGTTTAACTGTGCACAGCAAAGTTATACAACAGTTATGGACAATTGAATTGAATTGAATTGAATGTACAGGAGAAAATCTAGATAGGCAGGTATTACAGAGTCAGGCTAGAAGGACACAGGAGAGTGGTCTCTATTTGGCTCTAGGAGGTGAGCTTGCGCTCGCCCACATCTGAAGGACCCTTCCCCAGCCTACGGGGACAAAGAAAAAGAAAAGAGGGATGGTGTGAGGGTCAAAGGGCTAAAATGAGGGAACCGGATGGGGACACCGAGCAGAGTATCCCAAACAGCACCCACTGTCACTCAAAGGTCTCAAGAGAGCCAAAGGACGCCCAGTGGAACTCTGCCCAGATGCAGGAACCAATATAGGAGCAGAAATAGGCCCCATAGTTGCAGGCCCCTCCCTCACCCAACCCCTGCTTCCTACAGGACACTGGTAGAAGGCAAGTATATTAGCCCTAGATTAAGTCTCTGTTCCCAGGGTAAACTAATAAGTGCTAGTCCAGAACCAGCAGGAACTTGCCAGAATCAATCAGGGCAATTAAGCACCTGGAGCGAATTACGTTTCCAGAGTGAAGAGAGTCAGACTAGTCAGAACATCTGGGGCCAATTAAGAACCAGTTGAGACAAGAGCTCCTCTTCAGTTAGTTCAATGTGTACAAGGTGTTTGAGGACAGAAGGAGCTGTGGAAAGTTTCAGAGGAGAAAGTGAAAGCTGGTACCAGGAAGCTGCTGGGGAGGGTTGTGGAAAAGTGGCCTAGGGATTTGTAGCTGTAACATAGCTGATACCAGAAACAATACAGACAGCTGCTCTCACAGGGTCCCTGGGCTCCTCCAGGTTCCCCCCCAATTCCCCATTTCAGTACTAGAGAGACTGACTTTGGTACAAGGGTTTTTCCTACCCTGTACCACTGGAGGGGTGACAGAGACAATGAAGTTTGGTTTTTTCTCTTTTTCCCAAGCTGGCCAATGATGAGAGTAGCTCAAGAAACAGCAAGCTGGTGTCTAAATTGAGGGCTGCTGTGAGCCTCTGAGGGAAATAATCCACCTGAAAGTACATAACCCACTAATGTTGAGGAGAAGCTTTGTCAAAGAATGATATCATTGTCTTAATCAAAATCTCACTCAGATCCAGGAATCTGAGATCTCTGTAATCTTGTCAAAAGTGTGGTGGCTATGTAGTTTCTTTTAAATACAGTCTCATAGCTTATAAAAGAAATACTATAATACAGTATTCTGTAGTATTTATCCAAAACATTTGCAATTTCCAGTAATACCATGATGATGTGTAGGGCATTACTGTAGACTATGACAGCATTTTTAATGCCTGCCAGAAAAGAAACTCATTCTGGTTAGTCAGACTCAATCTGGCAAGAAATTACAAGGTTGCTAAGGCTTGGTCTACACCTAAA